CAAAACTTCTGTTGAAATTTTCGGCATACGCAACATCCGCAGCGACAATTCGCATTCGCATTCGCATTCGCATTCACATTCTCAATCGCGTTCGTATCTGTATCTTGTATCTGGTGGCGCCGCCGCTGGGGGTCCTGTTCCCCAGGTTCCTGTTCGGAGTCACTGTTCCTCTCCCTGTCACTGTTTCACTGTCGCTTGTCTGCGCGCTTGCGCATTCAATTTAATTTTTATTTCCTTCTCGTTTTTTTTTAATTCGCTGACAATTTGCAGCGGCTGCAAAAATTTTTGTGCGTTTTTTTAACGACTTTTGGCAATGACAACAAAAAACGGGAAGAAGCCTTGCAAACGGGTGTAATTGATGAAGTAATACTCGTTTAAGATGAGTTAATTTTGGGCCGATCACTAAATTTATTGATTTGTTGGTCTACAAGAACTTTAGATAAAGCCCAGTCTCTGGCTTACGACAGCTATAGGTAGAGTCAGGTCTTTGGCTTATAAGAGCTTTAGCTATAACCCAGTCTCTGACATACAAGAGCTTTAGCTATATCGCAGTCTCGTTCAGTCTAACTCTAAGTTCCCTAAGAAAAATGACCCAGCCTACCTCTAAAAGGCCTAAGATGTTAAGTATATTTCCAAAGTCTCAGGTTTGCCGTCTTAAGTCGTACATTGCTGTTAGCCCATATACCTTCTTTCACTTTTCGAGCGTGTATTTAAATGCCAAAAAATGCCGCTAAAGAATTGGCCAACGCATGTTGCACTTTTTGTTGTTGTCTCTTCTGTTATTGTTGTTGCTGTTGTTCATTTGATTATCGCCACTGTCGCCGTGTAATTTATTATATTGACTTTTTGGGTACTCTGAGCCGCAAAGTTGGCCCTTATTTTTATGGCTTTAACCTTTTGCCAACCGCCGCGTTGCTGACATTATTTAATTTGTCATTTAATTCTGTTTATGCCTTCTGTTGAGCGAGAGCAGCCATATGTTGTGTGTGTAATGGAATATGCGCATGTGTCGTGTGTGGGGGGCATTCGCAACTTTATGTTGCCTGCCTTTGACTTTTTGGCCTACATATGCTACTTCCTTTTAACTGCAAATAATTTGTTGCTTTCTTTTTGCTCTTAAATTCTGAGAATCGCACAGAAAGGCAGCTGACAGTTCTTCTTTAGTTATGTTTCATATATTTGAGCTGCCTTGACCTAAAGGCCTGTTTATGCGTGCTTCAATGAAAGTCGAATATATTTATTTATTATATTCACATGATTTTTAAACAAATCTGCAATAATATTTAATGGAAAAAGCTTTATTCGACTTTAAACACTCTCAATAAGGCAAATGTTTTTTAAATCTAATTTAAATACAATATAATTAAGTTAATTTCATCATTCCGCCAGCCCTGTCGCGTATCAGTCACAGTTTTAATTAAATTGTTTTTTATATCAATAAATAATTCAAGTCAGCTCGTTGGTAAAATAACTTTCAAGCCAAAAACTCCTTTTAATTAATTGCATTTAATCAAATTTCGAGCTGTGTCGCCAAATCGAACGCCCACAAAAACGAAAATGTGCCCCAATATAGTCCCCAAAAATGGCTGCTAAAAATGCGCTAAATCATTTTTTAATTGCTCAATTTGAAAACAAATGCGAGCGATTTAATTTAATTGTGTGGACTGTTAATTGAGTCGTATTTGGCTCGGTTTTTTCGCTTTCTGGCTGGCTGCACGAATGCGGCCACGCCCATTTGCGCCTTCGATACGTTTGTTAGATAAAAGCTAACTGAACAGCATGTTTGTTGCAGCGCGTTGTGGCAACTTGTTGTTGCAGTTCATTTTCGGCATTTTTGTGGGGCAATTAAAAATGCAACTTTGCGACAGTTTGGCAAATGCTCAGCTGCAACGCCAACGGCAACAACAACAGCAAACAGTTGCAGTTGCAGTTGCAGCGTGTGGGCCAATTTTCGTATGATTTACAACATTTGGGCCGTCGAGCGGAGGCAGGAGGGCAGGGCCAATCCAGTTGATGTTGAAATTAGCATATGGAAAATGCATTATGCGATAATGCGCCATAAACGTCGCCAAATCGAAATTGTGTGTCGACTTTTGTACATTTCAAGATAGACATGAGCTTGCAAATGTAGGAGGCGTGTGGCGTGCTCAGCTCAAGCTCAAAACTGGCTGGCCATAAATCTGCATCGAAGCGATGGGGGTTGGGGGAGGGTGAGCGGACGATTGGCTGCTGGCTGTGTCGCATCATCAATCATGTTGGCGCAGATCGATTATTACAATTGCTGACAGGCGAGCGAGGCAAGTTGGCGGCCGTTGCATCTGCGGGCAGCCATTTGTATCTGATGGATGTATCTCGAATGCCTCCTGCTGCTGTTGATGCTGCTGCTGCTGCATCAGTTGTTGTTGTTGTTGTTGCTGCTGCCGCTGCTGCAACTGTGGCATGCAAGCCCAGTTTACATTTCCATGGAAACTTGTGCATTGCATTTGCACAGCTGCAACAGTTTTGCCTCTCGGCTGCTGTTCTTGTTGTTGTTTTCGTGTCAAGTCCTAAAAGTTCCAAGAAAACCAAAAGTTTTTGCCATGTTCTATGCCAAAATGTGACGAGCCAAGCTGTCCATTGTCCGCGTTGGCCAGCACGAAATTATTTTAATGAGTTGCCAATTAGACTGCACCATACTGAACCCAAATAGATCAGCGACTCGACCACTGCTAATAAATAGCTGACCAGGTCGACTCAACGGCTCTTCCCCTCTCACTCTCCCACTCTCCCTCTCTGTCCATCTGTCTGCTGGCATTGCGTGAAGCAACGCACACCTGTTGCATGTTGCTTGGCTGTTTGGAGCCCCTTTGGCGAATGGCATAAATAAGTAAAGTAAAGGGCTCCCCTCCCCAAAACGGGAGTCTGTTAAAACCAAGCCAAAAGCAACTGGGCCATAACTTGTGTCAGTCGCAAGTGGAACTTTACGATCCTGTTGCCAACATGCTTGTCTGACAGCATCCGACAACAAACTCAGCGGGCTCGAGTTTAATTCCCAACTCTCTTCTAGCCAGGCAATTCACTTTGATATCTTGTCAGTATAAAATCGGAAGTTAACTACAGAAGCAGCCGCCGCTGCGACTTTACATATGGCAAAAGCTTTTCCTGATTGTCGAATATTATTAGCCCTAGCTAACTACTAACTAGTTTCGTTAGCTGCTTTTTTATTGGCTTACTCGTTCTTTTCTTTTTTGTTAGCCTTTTTCTTAACAACTTGCCTCAATTAACGCGCATTTTTTCCAACACTTTTTTAAGGCGCCGCTTATTAGACCATTTCCGCTGCACTGCCACGCCCACATCCTCAATTCACGGAGAGAGGAAGAGGGAGAGAAAGAGTGTGCACTAAATTACTTTTCATTCGTTCTCTTTGTTTGTTATTAATTACGCTTTGCAGAGCGTTCGCCTCGTGGCTGCGTTTTTGGCCAATTGAATTATTGCGCTCAAGACAATGGAAGGTCGCGCCGGTCGAGGGTCAGCAGGGGGGCTAGCGGGCCATAACGGAAGCTGGGGCAAAATATAATGGCATTTGCTTTCATTATAGCACCGTCAGCATAAATATTTAAACAGCTGACAACTGGGATAACGAGATAGCTGCCAAAGTGACCCACCTGATCGCTTGACGAACAAAAACGAAGAAGAAAAAACAAACCCACATTTTTCAACCGAAATAGGCCAAAGTTATGCGATGCCAGGGTCCATTTCAAAAAGAAAACTCATTCAAAACCTAATCTACGAGCTAATTACATGCTCTATTAAGTTTTATATGCCAACGCTGACTGGCGACTTGTTATAAAGTTTGTTGTATAACGAAGAGATATGTGTCTATGGGAGACACCTTTAAGTGTGGGAAATATAGAATAAATCTTCCAACATGATCGTCATCAAAAGTCAGGTCTATATAGTCAGCTTGTAAGCTATCTTCTATAGACTCTACACTTTAGAACTCATCTCAGCTCAGTTTATAGAGTATTCAGCCTTTGACCTCCTTCAACAATGTTTTTCGGCCACTTAAGTTTATCTGCACGGCTATTACAATTTTCGCCGGCTTTTATCAAAAGGATATGGAACGTGGCAGTTGCGAGGGCTGTCTGTAATATTTATATGCGTGTTGATTTCTGTTTGCTGAAATTAACCTTTTTGGCATAGTTACTCCACCTTGCAGCTCTTCGCTTCCTCCTCTTTCGGGCCTTTGCCCATTCCATTGCAGATGCCCGCAGCTCGATAAGGTCTAGGCGAAAAGGGTCAAAACGCAGTCGCATGTGTTTCGCTACATCTACTGACTTCTGACCCTTATTGTCCACATGGGCGTATCCTCCTGCCCCACTCTGGCAACAATTCAGTATTCATTGCCTGCCTCATTTAACTGAGGCCATAAATATTCTAAATCACCAGCGGGGCCAATGTCGGCTGGCAGCCTCAAGTTGTTAAGATAATAAACTTTGTAATTAATTTTGCATCGTTAAATGAGTGAGAGTGAGATGGCGAGCTATGATGATGGTGGGGCTTATCAACAGAGAGCGAAAGAGAGAGAGGCGCGCAGTTTGCTCGTTTAATTTCAGTTTTTGAGAGCAATTTTAATCGTCTGCTCATCGCCAACTTCTTTTGATGGCGCCTAATTGACTTCACTCACGAATTTTCATTATGCGCTCTACTTTTATCTTCTTCCTATTTTTGTTGCTGCTGTTGTTTTTACAGCTAGTCGACGAAACACCTTTCGGATACATATCTAGTATCTCTTCCATTTTGTTGCTGTGCAACTTTATATACATATTCATAAGTTGTTTTTTTTTTGTCTTATGAATTTATCATCTTTATCGCAATTGCGCTATAAAAATTGCATAATCATAAAAGCATTACACCTGGTTTCGCAGTTCCGCTGCGGCCGGATCATCTGGTTTTTGTGTCTTTTAATAAAAAGTCATTTCATTTGTGTTTTAATTGAATTTTTTATGGTTCCTTTGCAGATACCGCTGGCGAACTTGGATGGGTATTCACCCTAATTGTAGTCTCAATCATATCGGGTCTTATAGGTGCTATTGTAATGGTCATATTTCTAAGATGTAGAAGGTATGTATGGCCTCTGATAACTCTGTTAGCCAAATTTCAGCAATAAAAGCCGGCAAACCAGCAAGCAAGCGCATAAATTTACAATTCAAATTAATTGGTTAAGACAAACAGCAGGCAATAAATAAAAATGCTAATAAATAGACACATTTTGGCATTTAGCTAGAAAAATACCGCAATTAGTCATCATAAACATATATCTTGCCATATGCCCATATAGAAAACGTGTTCGATATGAGTGTCTCATTGCCCAGTCTCCCAGCCCCAGCACGGACGTTCAACTCAGACCTCAAGACGACCCCAGCGATCCGTCATGCAGCGACATTTACACAGCCAAGACAAATTGAATATATGTACAAGCAGTGCGAATATGTAATGTATGAATGTACATCTATCTATCTATATATATATACATATATATTGAGGCTAGATTTACAATGTATTTGCCCACACAACAGCGAACGGCAATTCAATTAAACGCCCACCGAAAGAAACCTCTGAAGCGCCCCCTAGCGGACAGAATAGCGGCAAAAATAATCGTGGCACAAAACAAAAGAACATGAAATTGCTTTATTACTTAATTGCTCTTTAAAATAAACACACACAGCAACAACAATTATGCGAGGCAACATACTTGCCACAGGCCATGCTTTTGTAGTCATAGAGTGGGTCACTCACACAGACTCATACAGTGTACACTCCATAATCGCAACAAGATACATTTAAATGGACATTCATTTGCTGATTCCATAGGCAAATAAGTTGTGTCAAGGGGCGCTGTGGGCAGCGGTGGCAAGTGTGCGGGGGCGTGGGCAACACGCGAGCTTAAAATTACCCAAAATTTTAGTTTGCGCAGGCGCCGCTGTCACCGTCGCCGTCGCCGTTGCCGTTGCCGTTGCCGTCACTGCTGGCATCGCAGTCGCCGTCGTTGCCTTTCAATCGAACGCTGGCCACATGTCGCGTCCAATTAAATTGTCATGTTGTTGTATTTTGGCGGCATGTTTGCATAAAATTAATTTCGCAAATAATTTGCCAAAGCACAACAAACAAATGAACAAACAAACACAATGCCAAGACAAGTGAGAAACAATTGACGTGAGCAATGACGACTGCCGGAATACCCTATGGGAACAAACAGTAAATAAGAGCAGGGCAATTTAGCTAGGAGTTTCCTATATATGTTTACTTTCGTAGATAGCTGAAAAGTAAATGACATGAATACTTAGGTTTATATAGGATAAAGTCAAAAGTAAAACAGTTATAAAAAAAATATATAAAATTATATTTGAAAAAGGCTTAGAAAACTTATGCCTCATGAAGTAAAGCATGGCTATTCCAGCTAGTTGCAATACAAACAAGGCTCATGGGTGCTAATATACCCCACAGAAAAACGAAGCTAGACATAGAATCACAGTCAACAACTAATATATCACAGACAGTTCAAATGAGCTGGGTGTTCAATTGGGTTGGCTTTGGATGTGGAGTGTGTTCTCATAACTGTTACTCGATGCATGTTTGGCTACGCATTCACACGCTGCTTGTCTAGCTTAGATTTGTCATTATTTAAGCTGGACTCTAGGCTCGCTCCTCGCCCCTTGCCCCACACCTCTGACCACCTCTGGCAGCACAGCACAGCACACACTTAGGCAGCAATCGGATTGTCACGCTGTTCACCTTGCCGTCAGCTTTAGTCAGTCAGTTAGGCAGAGTTGTTTTTGCAACTGTTTCATGTTAGTTGGGTTCGGGCGTCGTGCTCGGACGTGTTGGCTGCCAAATTAGCGGCAATTACATGTAATATCGGTTACACTTATTTGCATATTGATGCAATTCTCGATCGGCTAATGGCGCTATAAATTTGCTCGGCACATGTTGCACCGCAGTTGTCGCAGTTGCTGCAGCACCAGCAGCTGGCAGTTTGTGTGTTTGTTGTTTTTTTTCGACTCATGATTTGTTAGTGGACACCTTAGAAGTTGAGTTTTAATGGCACCTGCCATTCGGGCTGACAATGTTTGCTCAATGTCTAGACACTGTAATGGCAACACGGTTAACTTTAAAATGTCTTTTTGCCGAGCCACTTGTCGGAAAAACTCAAAGTCCCATTGATTTGAAATGTTGACTCTGTAGCTCGAATTACTTACAGCTCAGCCAAGTGACGAGCGTTAAATAAATGATGTTGCGCCAGTTGATAGCAACTAACAACATATATACAATTCTTTTAACACACAAAAACAAGTAGACGGTCCAGTGAGTTGGTTTCAACAGAGTAAATCATGTAGATGAGTTGTCTAAGTAACCTAGTTTTTTTGTTTTCTTTTTTTTTACAGTAGTATTTGAGTATTTGGCTTGGAATGGCAGAAGAGTTGCATGGATGGTAGTGTAGTCTTAACTAAAAGCTTTGCTTGCATCCTTGGAGGGGCAGGAATAGAAGATAGCCCATGCCATGCTCATCCAAGCGAAACTCTATCAATTTAAGACAGTTTTATAGTTTTTATTTTATAAATTTGAGCTGGGCGTGCTGTAAGAATATTCTAAGTGAGCTATTAAGTTTCTAGCTGTTAGAGATTCCTTCTTGCTTTTTTACATACGGACAGACGTGCAGATGAACAGACAGGGCTGCAGCAGTTGGGCTGCTCATTCTGAATACTTTCTGAATACGACTATGCCTTCATATATCTATGTATATATATGAGAAATAAATCGATTTATGACGTAGTAACAAATACATCGAAAATCATTTTAAAGTGCTAATGAAATATATATTCTACTTTAAGCTTGAACCTTCAAGATTAAATAATTTATTATAATTATACAGTATATTCATATTCAACAACAGCTGACGAGCTTTCAAATCTTTTTTAGCTTAAATACAATCTCTTCTGGTATTTGTTTTCATTTCACATTAGCTTTAATTACTTAACATTAAGCTTCATCGATTATCTGCCCACACATTCAGAGCCAAGGCCTGTACCACCTAGCCCAGTTTCAGTTTTGACAATAACATTGTTAAATTGCACTAAATTGTCGCTTCGTGCTCGCATTTGCTATTTTGATAGAAAAGCCAAAAAATTTCAAGTTGAAAACGTTTAAAGCAGCTGCAACAGCGCCGAGCCGAGCTACATAAAAAGGCGTGTTCAATTAGCATGCTTCAAGCTCGATAGCGAAAAAAGCTGAATAAAAAAGGAAAAAACAAATAAAAAAAATGAACTGCTGAAACAAGCGCAGTAAATTGAACATAAAGGAAAAACACACGAAAAAAATTGCAGAAAAATAAAAGAAAAACAGTTGGAAAATTAGCGCAGAGGCAAAGGCACGGCCCCCAAGACGACGATGACTGGCTTGAACGGTGAGCTTGTTCACTTTAATTGAATTGCAAAAAGAGAAAAAACACACACACACACACTGACAGACTCGCACACTGCCTGAAAATCAAAAGCAGGCAAATGCGAATCAAAAAATCGAACTAGACTCGGCTCAGCTCCAGTTAACATTATAATCGATCAAGGCAAAGCGAGGGGCAACATTTAGCCGCATGCCGCGCTGCACTCAATCAAACGGACGGCGCATGCAAACGGACGGACATTGGACGGTTAATTGATACGCACAATCTATATCCATTAGGTTCGTGCTTGAAGCTTGACCCAGAAAACGGGGCAAGTGCAAATGCGGCGGGGCCAAAGTTAATGGCAATGAGCGAAACAGTTAGAAGAAGTAGAAAAAAAATGGCTTAAACTCAAATTGAAAGCAGAATTTGTGGAACAGCAGACAACGAGAACAAGAAAACGACATCCCCATTCAAGAGAACAGCCCACAAATCGACCAAGATAATCCGGTTCAGCCTCTTCTCAGCTCTACGCTTATCCGCAGATTTCCAGCGCTAATCTAATCGGCAACGTTTGTGTTGCAACAAATGGTGGTTGTTGTTGCTGCGGCTGCTGTTGCAATTGTGTTGAATTCTTATCGGCTCTTACATATATTTTGCGGTAGTTTATCTGCGTGTCACACGCAAAAAAAAACTTCTATTTGCGTAGCGCGAAGTTTGTGTCCTAAGTCTTTCGATTTGGCATTTGCCATTTTTTGTTCGCCGGCGCTTGGCATTGAACAATTTGACATTTTGCTTTGCGCTAATTTATGTTTAGCCATATTTTCTGTTATTCTTAAACGCCAATTTATGTTTATTAATTGCAACATTCTGTTCGCTTCTTATCTTTGCAGAATTAAATCAGCGAATGCCAATGGTAAGTGCAAATCAAGTTTCTAGACTTAAGAGGGGGGTTGTCATATATTTATATATAGATAATTACTATTTGCTGTTAAAGTGTTTAAGATAAATATGCTAAATTGGCAATTGTAGTTGCCACTTTGATGATTTATAAATTTTCATGCAATTCTGAGAGAAATCTTTGCATTGGAAACCTGATCAATTAGTCATTTGGCTCTAAGCTGCCTCGTTTGATTAATTAACCAAGTCAGGCAGAGATTATTCTTTGCTGTTGTCGTTTGTCTTCTTCTTGGCATAATCTGTACCTTTTCTTTTTCTGCTTCCCTTTGCATTTCCATTTTTAATTGCATAATTCTAGCTTTGCATGCGATTCGCGGAAATTCGTTTTTGTGACACACAAGTGGCAACAATTTAATTTGTTTTCTCTTGGCTCTTGGCTCTCGGGTCTCGGGTCTGAGGTCTTGTTACAAATTTTTGGTTTGACGACAATGCATGAAGTTCACGTTCGTGCCACAAATCTAAGATGCTGCTGAAATGGAAACTGATGTGTACGTGCCCCCTAAGAGCCGCTGGCTGCATTTTGCATCTTAAGAAAATTTGTCGACAAATTAAGGCAAAGGCTAACAATTTTCTTCGAGACTCTATATGCTATTGGCATTGGCCTCTCCTGCTGCTGACTGACTGCCTGCCTGCCTGCCTGGCTGGCTGGCTTAAACACGTTCACAAATCGTGCAACAAAAGTTTTTTTTGTTTTTTGATTTAGTTGCTCGCCGCGCGCCACTCTGTTTTTTTTTTCTCTCTTTTTGTTTCTCTTTATACAGTAGGCGAATTATTGACAAACGAGCTAACGTACTCCTACACGCCTGCCCTTTCACTCCCTACCATGTGCGCCCTTTGGGCCAACTCTCTCTTTTCAATTGGCGCCAATTTCACTGTCCGACTGTCCCTGTGCTGACATCGACATGCAGGACAAATTGTTGACGGCATTTAATGTCACAGCAGCCAATTAGCTGTCCCATGAAAATCTCCACTTGTTTTTTTCGTTTGCTTTTTTTTGGCCAAAGTTTTTCTTTTGTGTGTGTGTTTATTTTTTTGCTGCTGCTACGCACGGTTGCATGTTGCGAAAACAGCAAACAACAACAATAACAACGGCAACAACAGCAACCGTAAAACAAACAATCCCCACAAATCGTTAAACTGTCAGCAGCTTTTAAAGCGCGTGATTATGTCGAAGTCAACGTCAACGTCGCCGTCGACAGGCGCCAGTTGCCAGTTGCCAATTGCCAATTGCCGATTGCCCAAAAACAGTTTTTAAAATGCCGCAGTGAAAACTTTTTCAATTGCCCAAAAAATGCTCTGAGCCCATTACAGCCATTCCGCTTGCAGTTGATTATGTTTTTGCGCATAAAGTAAATAATTAAAGTGCATGGTAAATAGCGAGAGACACCTTTAAAAGTTAATTGTGCCACAGCTTGTGGCTGTGGCCAAATGCCATTTGCCATACAAATGCCTCTCGCTTGTTGCAACACCCCGAAAACAATTGCAGTTTGGCTGCAAACTCTGTGCAATTATCATGACTGCCGCCTGGCAGCCAACGCGTCGTATGAGTAACATTATTTTAATTATGCATACGCAGATAAGAACCGAGCTATGCGACATTTTGTGCCCGACTCAAGCCCCAGCAAATGTGCTGACAGTCATTGGCATTATCTGTGCGACTATTAAGACTTCATTACACATGTCATATGCGCGACTTGTTTCGCCGAACCAAACGCGACGCAAAACACACATTAAATTCCAAAATGCTCGTTAATACTTTTTTTCTGTTTGTTTATTATTATTATTATTTATTGTTGTTGCTGCTTTAGTCGAACACAGAGTCTTTTTAGCTGCTGCGAAATATTTTGTTAACAAAATTTTGCCGTTGCTGCCGCTGGCGCTGCACGCAGATAAGCAGCAAGAGATAAGACCCAAAGCAGCGGTAGCTGTTGCTGCAACCAGGCAGCTACCAATGCACAGTGGTTGGATTAGAATTGAGTGGGATTTGTTGAGCGAACAAATTGTTATGACAATTTATGTGGGAATGCGGCTTGAAATTCAAGAAACTTGAAGTTTTTCTTAGTTAAGGCTTAGAATTGGTATTTGAGCCGATTATCTCAGACAGTTCTCGCAGTATTCAGCTAACAGGCCCTGCAACTTGATATAATATAATAAAGTTTGATAATTTGGAATAAATTCTTAGCAAACAAAGTTGTTTAATATGCCGTATTAGAACTACTTTACTAGTAGAAGTAGACTGCTCCAAGTTGTCACAGTTTACTTGGAGCAGTCTACTCAAGGAACTCAAACCTTTGATACTGAAGAGTTAACAGCTTGGAGGATAGGACAATATGTCACATGCCAGCTTAGAATAGGAGTGCACAATGACTTATAAAGCAAAGGGAGAAACACAATAGATTATGCACAATTTAAGAAAATCTATAAAGATAATGTCCCACCTTCCAAATTGCTGAAATAATGCATGCGAATGGGGCTTATGTTTTGGACATACTATTCTTAAATCATTAACCATATTAGTCACATAATATCGGGATAATTTCTTAGCATTTGAAGTCACATGAATGCACCTTTTTTACTAGAGAATTCGCGTGCTATCCGAGCTTCTTATAATATTTATTTCTTATCGCGAAATATGTTCCAAGAATTTAGAATAATAAATCTTAATTTATTTATTATTAAAAGTTCGGAATTTGTAAACATTTCATGAGCAAAGCAAAGCAGAATACATCATAATCAAAGCCTGGCACCACTGTGCAGCTGTGCACTGTGTCAGCAATAAACGTAAGTTCAATGCAATTGCTGCAGTAGCAAACAGGCAACATCGTTAACACAGTAGAAAGAGAGAAAAAAATATAAGAAACAGCTATTAAAGCCAACAAAGTCCGCATCCGAATCGAAGTCCAAGTCCGAGCTGCAGTGGCAGTGGCAGTTGCAGCAGCTGGGACTGAGAGTCGAGTTGCAAACTCTTTGGCGTTTGTGACATGCACAAAATGCATGTATATGAGCACCTACGAACGATAAGCTTAGGTTAATAATCGCCAGAGCAAACAGAGACACAGAGTAGCTATATATGTATATATATAGTATATATATCTAGCTATATAGCTAGACAAACGCAGTCTTTCAGTACGTAAATCATAAGCATTAAAAGCAGGCAGCTTTAGCAGCAGCAGCAGCAGCGGCGGCAGTGGCAGCAACCGAAATGACTGCATTATGCATGTGCATAACTTGGAAAATTGCCAACGGTTGTGGCAAGTGGTTGCGTATGCATTCCGCTAATTAGTTGGATCGCTCCAAGCGGCCAAGCACCCAAGCACCCAAGCTCCCAGGTTGTCCAAGCTCTGAGCGTAATGAGAGTGAAAGGCAAGGCCCGAGGCGCACTCATTAACAGCTAAGCAAAGTGGATGAGCTGGATGAGCTGTGGTCAGTGGGCACAGCGGATGTTGGGAACAGGTCTGGCGGCGGTTATGAAATGAAATTACTATAACAAGGTTAAAGGAATCTATAAAGATGCTGTTAGCGGATAAGCAGACCATAAATGAAAAACAACTCTAATGAATACACATTTCATAGACTTCCTATATGTGCCACAGGTCATTGAGCTCTGTCGCCTCTCAACTTATGATATATGCCAAGGACTGTGATCCCACAAGCTGATTAAAAAAGGATCTCACAGTCTGCACAAAACTGAGTTTGTTTTTGGCTTTTTGGCATTTCGGCCCAGTCGCCCGTTACTCATTGCCACACACTCGCCTGCAACTGTGCCACCGCGCTGCCAGTTGACAGCCGTTTAATTTACGCTTTGTTTGTTTTGCTGTTTGTTTCTCTGTTTTGTTGTTTGCTGTTTGCTGCTTGCTGTTGGCTGCTTGCTGCTCTGTCGCGTTCAATGTGAGGTGAATGTTTGATTTATCGCCCGATTATAGAACCAAATGTCATAGATTGCTGCCGCGAATCCGAATCCGAATCCCAATCCGATTCCAATTTAGCTTTAAGCCAACACCAAGTGTTCAAAATACCAAAGCAACTTACTCACATATGCTTGCCCGCTTCTACTCTTACAGGTGGTCGGCCACAGCCGTGGTGGTGTCGTAACAATCGCAACGGCGGCGGCCAGAATCGTTCGCCAATCTCTATTAAGCATTCGGCGGACAGCATACGCCGGCCGACAAGCAACTCGGGCGTCTGGACTTGGCTGGGCGGCAGTCGACGCTCGTCGGCGGGACCGGATCAGATTGGTCCGCCATCGACATCACCCGCCGAGAATCATTATACCCACATGGACGATGCGTACAGTCCGGTGGGCGTCAGCGAAGCACTCTATGCGGAGCTCGATCGCGAGTCAGTGCGTTCGGCAAATCCGTCTTATCAGAATACGGCGTACAGTCAGTGTGGCGAGGTAAGTGAAATCAGCTAAAGAAGATGAAGTTCAGCTTTAACTCCTCTTATTCCACTCGTCCACAGAAATACAATTTCCAGGCACACGAGCAAGACATTCCCATGGTCGTTTCCTCAGCGCCGAGCAGTGCCTACTACTCGGATCTGTCCGTAACCGCCATGCCGGGCGGCGCCAGTGGCAGCAATCAGGGCGCCTACGAGATTGTTGGCCTAAATGTCATGTCCCAACCATTGCCCAATTGGGAGCATCACGGCGGCGGCGCTGGCGGTGGCAATGGCGTTGGAGGCGTGGCCACCACCACTGGTCTGGCGCCGAACGATGCTGCCATGACGCAGCGTCGCATGCCACGTCTGGCAGCCATCAATGAGACGAGCACCAGCACCGTGCCCTCAGACTATGTCTGAGCAGCCGGCTACAGCCGCAGGAGCAATTAATTTGTAATTTATATACGAGATATGTGACTTTAAAAAAGTAGAAAGAACAAGAAATGCGAGCTTAACATGTTAATGAATTACGTTAAACACAATCTATATAAATATAGTATACAATTAGGTCTATGGATATATATTTATAGCATATGCTAGCTTAGAGTTAGCGTAGTCTCTATTCGTGTCTTTTGTTTATGTCTGAATTGTAATATAGTGCGACAGATTTACATACAAGCATGTATTATAAATCTAGTTTTAATATATCTATATATATACACACACATATATATAGTGTTAAACAGCGATTAAATCGTGGGTGATATTTAGCCTAAATATGCTATATTCTTATGTTCTACGTACTTTAGCATTTTCCAAAAATGTAAAAAAGAAATGGCAGAAAAGAAACCGAAAACGGAAACAGGAAAATAGGAAAACAGGAAAACGAATTATGAGCATTTTTTGAATAAGGGTTTAGAATAGGCGAGAGAAACGCATTTCAGTCTAAGTCTAAGCGAAACAACCCAACAATGTACCCAAAATCATATTATCATATATACACACTCACACTCATACACACGCACACACACATATTTACAGCAAAATGAATTTATGCTTACAGGAAATATACTATATATACAATATCTATTAACGAAGCAAAGGAAAAAACATATTTACAACGATTTTAATGCAAGAAAAGTAAGAAAATAAAGTATTTACGACTATTTACGAAACACACACAGAAATATTTATACTGCATGGAACATAGATACACACACACATATATATACAATATATAATATATATATATATATATCCGTTTAACTGGGCTCTCAGCTATCTCTTTACAACAACTCCACGTAGCACATCATATCATTTACATACTACAGCATTAACTCAATATAAATAACTGCATTTTACATACAGACAATTTTCCAAGCATATAAAACTTAGTAGACATATGTATTTTAGATTTTAGTAGTAATTTAATTTTTGTACATTTTTGTTTTAGTTGAAAAAATATATAAATATAATTAAAAACTATTGCTATTTACATTCTGAATCCCAAAATACGCAGCAGTGTTTTATTTCACAAGTCTCTACTAAACTCTCTCTCTCGCTGTCCCTGTCTTTGTAAGGTAAGATATTTCTTAGTGCTCTGGCTCGCTGCCTTTTGTCTCTTCAGTTTCACTCTCTCCCATTAAACGACTATGACCCAGGAGAAATCTGATCATTTGTTTACCCGTCTTCAATCGTACCCCAAGTCTTCACTTTGCAGCACAACGCCAGCGTCTTCAATCTCTACAAATGTTTCTGTTTCTATTGGTGCATCTGACTTCTTGGGCTGTCGCGTATGTATTTTAAGGTGAGCTCGCAGAGCTGCCTTTTGTCTAAAGTGTCTGCCACATTCTTCGCATCCATGCGGCTTCTCGCCCGTATGTATAAGCTCATGCTGATTGCGCGTCTCCGGCTGTATGAATGCTCGCTCACAATAGCGGCAGGCATAATTGCGCGCACGTTCGTGTATGGTGCGCATATGCTTATTTAGATTGCTGGAGCTGTAGCACACCTTCGAGCAGAGCCGGCAGCAGTACGTGCGCTCCAGCGTGTGATAATTCAGATGGATCTTGAGTTCTGTGCGCGTCGTCTTCTGTACGCCACAGAAAGAGCAGGTGTAGTTCTTGATTCCTGCATGGCGCATCATGTGTATCTTTAGCAGCTGCTTGGTGGCGAAACGCCGCTCACAGCTCGGCTCTTCGCAAGCGAAAGGCTGCTGCAACTTGTCCTTGTGGGTGAAGCGATGATTTTTGAGCAGCGCCATGGTATCAAAGACCTTGCCACAGAACTCGCACACATGAGACTTGTGCTCCTTCCCAAGCTTATGGCACTTTCGCATGTGAACGGATAACGTATGCTTGTGGCTATAGCCACGACCACAGCCTGGTTCGGTGCAGGGATAAGGCATCTGTCCATGTCGCCGACTATGCGACTGCAGCCGCTTCTCATTTAGGAATTGTGCGGCGCAGATGTTGCATTTGAAGACATCTTTAGTTAGCTGTGGAGAGGTACTCTAAAAAAGAGTCAATTCGTCTAAGAAATATTCTTTTGGGATTTTCTTGATTTCTTACTGTATCGTCATCCACTTTGTCCTCGAGCTGCCCAAGCTGTTCATCCGTATGACAATGCTCCGCATTCGTTTCTGCAGCATTCGTTAGCTGCTGCACGCATTTTGTCTGACTTCTGAGTTGTTTTCTGTTTTGCTTCTCATTCGTCAGCTCCAGGTGCAGTTCCTGAACTTCAACTTGTGTGGGTGCCGCCTCCAAGTCATATATGGGCTCTTCATCATCACAGAATGCCAAAATTTGCATTCGCCATTTCGTGTCAGCTGCTATGCACTTGGCACGGAATGCATAGAGGAGTTCCAGCTGATTAAAGCACGCTTGGCACAGCTCGCTTGGCACTCGCTCATCCACTTCCACAGACAGATCGGTGCAGGTAACGAACTTGTGCGCCAGCAGGGGCAATTTATGCATATCGTAGCTGCCGACAGTTGCATCAAGAGCACAAATACAAACACGGCATTTAGTGTAAGTAGTCATCGAGTACGTTAATTAATAAATTACATTTAAAAAATTAACAATAATTCTTTTGCGGTTCAGTGTGTTGGCAATGTGTTTGGTAACGCGAAAAGCAGCTGTTCACCACTTATCGACTATCGATAAACGGCATACCATTAACAGTGACTAGAGTAGTAGTTTAAAATACTTGTTGGCTGTAGCAGGTCACCCCGCATTCATTGTTTACGTTTAGGTACAAAGTTCAGTCGAGTTTAGCAAAAATGTTGAAACTAAATAATTACGGAACGCGCAAATTAATTTTAGATATTTCCAAAACTCGTTTCTACTCAGCTGCAGTTCCAAAAAGAAAGCCCGAAAATGAGGTCAGCAAAGAGCCAAAACGACAAAATGAATCTTTCATGGCCAACATATTTCGTGGCAATTTGGTCTCGAAACAAGTTTTCCCCTACCCCGATGTCTTGACATTGGAACAAAAGGAGACCACGGACAGCATGTTGGATCCGTTCCAACGATTTTTTTCCGATGTCAACAATGCTGCTCGTAATGACGACAATTCCGTCATCGATGATAAAACCCTGAACGCTCTGTGGGAGCTCGGTGGCATGGCCATCCAGGTGCCCAGCGAGTATGGAGGTCTTGGCATGAACAACACCCAGTATGCACGACTCTGTCAGATAGTGGGAGCAAATGATCTGGGTCTTGGTATTACCCTGGGCGCCCATCAGAGTATTGGATTCAAGGGCATACTGCTGTACGGCACACCAGAGCAGAAGGCAAAATATTTGCCCAAGGTGGCCTCAGAGCAGGTTTATGCCGCCTTTGCTCTAACCGAGCCAAGCTCTGGCTCGGATGCCAACTCCATTCGCAGCCGGGCTGTGAAGTCAGCAGACAATAAATACTACATTCTAAATGGCTCCAAGATTTGGATTTCCAATGGTGGATTGGCCGATGTGATGACTGTGTTTGCCCAAACTGAGCAAATCGATAAAAAGACTGGTGAAAAAAAGGATAAGGTGACAGCGTTCATTGTCGAGCGTTCTTTCGGCGGTGTTACAAACGGGGCACCCGAAAAGAAGATGGGCATCAAAGCTTCCAACACAGCTGAGGTATACTTCGAGGATGTTAAGATTCCCATTGAAAATGTGCTTGGCAAGGAAGGCGAAGGCTTCAAGGTGGCTGTTAACATTCTGAACAGTGGACGCTTTGGCATGGGTGCCACTTTGTCCGGAACTATGAAGAAGTGCATCGAGATTGCGACGGCACATGCCAACAACCGCACGCAGTTTGGCCAAAAGATCAAAGAGTTTGGCACCATTCAGGAGAAGTTGGTCAACATGAATATATTGCAATATGCGACGGAATCGATGGCGTTTATGATATCTCAAAACATGGACTCGGGCAGCCAGGATTACCACTTGGAGACGGCCATATCGAAGATATATGCCTCTGAAAGCGCTTGGAACGTTTCCGACGAAGCCATCCAAATTCTGGGTGGCATGGGATTCATGAAGGAGACAGGATTGGAGCGCATCATGCGAGATCTGCGCATCTTCCGCATATTCGAGGGCACCAATGAGGTGCTTCGCCTGTTCGTCGCGCTCTCCGGTGTCCAATACGCTGGCAACCATTTGAAGGAACTTCAACGCGCATTCAAGAATCCCTCCGCGAATCTGGGCTTTATCTTCAAGGAAGCTTCGAGGCGTGCAACATCAACGATTGGCTTGGGCGGCGTCGATCTGAGCGCATTTGTTGTGCCCGAGCTGCAGGAGTCGGCGAAGAAGACCGCCGCTTGCATCGATCTCTTTGGACGCACCACCGAGGAGGCTCTAATGAAGTACAACAAGAACATCATCAACGAACAGATCATACTGAATCACTTGGCCAATTCCGCCATCGACATCTATGCCATGATAGCAACTCTCTCCCGATCCACACGAGCTGCCAAACTTAATCTGCCCACAGCGGAACATGAACTTAACCTAACCAAAGCTCTGGCCAACCAGGCTACCGAACGAGTCCTTCAGCATCTGAAGAAAGCGAGCTCACCCCAGCTCCAAAGCGAAAACAAATTGGTGTCCACAATAGCGAAAACAATCAGCGAACAGGATGGCGTGCATTCAACAGGCGTCATCGACCTCAATTGAATTTCGAGCGAACAAAAGTAGATAGAGTAAAGCTAATCCATGTGTCTAATCCAATCATTAGCAAATTTTATTTGTCCTCATATTTTGTTTAATGAATTTCTAAATAAAGTTTTAAGTAAATAATATATACACTTTGGAATTTGCATTACCCATTGATAGGCCCAAACTGAACAAAGTCCATCTTCATTTATAGCACAGTCGTTGACGCACTATATACTATAGAATGACGCAGCCATATAATCTATACTAAAGTGGTTATTCGCTATGTGGCGAAGGCCATTTTAATTAGCAAATTGATTGAAGGCAAGGGGTATTCCATATTTTATTGAGTATCTTTATAGAATAGGCAATTGTAACCGAGTGCCAATATTCATGTCTATAAGAATTAAGAATTTAAACACTACTAAATATCAATATTTATTAGATAGTAATATAAATATTATAGATAGATAGATAAATAAGTTAATAATAATTTATATTTTATATATATATAATTTTATATTTTCTTTGCCTGCTTCAATTAATTTGGGATTACTGTATTTAGGAACTTTGAAATTTGGAGTTGATTAAAATGTCTATAGACAGATAGACAGCACGACTAAATTATTTAGCAAGAGCTACATTTACTGATACCCTTTATAGAGATTAGCTAAATTTGATTATAATATTATCAGCAAACAACTGATTTGACTGTCAACATAAAATCTAAAATTTTTACTTGATTTCTTCAAATGATTCGAAATATATATATATGTATATGATTCTACTATATATAACATCTATTATTAACTGCATTCGTCCGCCCGCTCTACACTAACGTCAATTGGCGCCGTCATCAAGAGCGTATACGTGGTCGTGCTGGAGTTCGAGCGCTGCCGATCGTGGATCTTGCGATGGGTGCGTAAAGCTGCGGGCTGTGTGAAGCGTTTGCCACATTCCTCGCATTCAAAGGGTTTCTCTCCGGTGTGGGTCATCTCGTGATATTTGCGTGTGTCCGCCTTGGCAAATCTGCGCTCGCAGTAGCTACAGGCATAGTCTTTCGCACGCTCATGCACGGCACGCACATGCATCTTCAAATTACCAGAGCTGTTGCAGACCTTTGAGCAAAAGCGACAGGGCCATGTGCGCTCCAGTGTGTGATAGTTCATGTGTATCTTCAGCTCATTTCTGGTAGTCTTCCTCATGCCGCAATAGGGGCAACTGAAGTTCTTGATGCCCGCATGGCGCATCAGATGCACCTTGAGTTTCTCTTTGCTGGAGAATCGGCGCGAACAGTTCGGCTCTTGGCAGGCATGCGGTAATTCGGATTGATCTTTGTGCGTGTAGCGATGATCGTTGAGCACCGAGGTGGAACTGAACACCTTTCCACAGAACTCGCATACATGTGACTTCAGCTCTGGGCCCAGCTTGTGGCACCTGCGCATGTGCATGATTAAAGTGGGCTTATGCCGATAAACCTTATCGCAACCTTCTTGCTCACAGCTAAACTGACTGGAGACCAAGTGTTCCTTCAGGTGTTCCGACAAGCTGTGGAAACGATTAGAAGCTTGATCACATCCCTCTTCTGTGCACGGATAAGGCGACAGGCCTTTGTGTTGGCGTTGGTGGGCTATCAAGCGATGCTGCATCACGAAACTCATGCCACAAACGTTGCATGAAGCTGGCATCGATAACAAATTCTAAAAAATCAAATGTTTATTGAACCTTTTGTAAATTTAATTTTGGTTATACCTGTGTCTCATTAATATCTACGGCCACTATTGCACCCTCGACTGCAGCTTCTATTTGGGGCAATTCTATTTCAGTCACATCACTGTTCAGTTGATATACTGTGCCAAGCTTCTGCAGCTCTCCAGATGGGGCTGATGCAGATATTTCTAAACGTAATTGTGCGTCGGCTGCTATGCACTTGTTCCGAAATGCATACAACTCCTCCAATTTGTCAAAGCACACTTGGCATAGCTCTGTTGGTAATTGTTTCTCAGCTTCTGCTTGGGAGAGAGATAAATCCGTGCAGGCCACAAATTTGTGCGCCAGTTCGGGCAAGTGCCGCATATCATAGCTGATAACAGCTGCTTCAAGTACACAAATGCAAACACGGCATTTGGATAAACTATTGGCTGACGTCATATGCTAAATTTAAACTTTTACAACGAGCAGATAACACAGTGTGCAATTCTTACAAGCAAACTAATTTTGTTATTGTTTATGTGTGCGCAAAACAGCTGTGCAGACTATAGAGATGCGCGATTCGTTGATTCTACTACTAACAGTGATTGCAAACAGTGACAAAATACATAACAGTGACTTACTCTTATGTGACTTATATGACTCAGTGTGCAAGTGGAATAAGCGGTATTTGTTATTGTTTACATGTATATATATGCGAAAGCAACAGAGATGAGCGAGACGCTGACTGTAATAGTTGCTCTCACTATAAGTCGTGACATGTTTTGTTTTATTTTTATTTGTATTGTTTAATAAATTATGATTTAAATGCACCTTACGATAGTTTAGTTTACTTATATTTATGTTCCACATTTTCTGGCACATCTTTAATACTTATTCCCCAGTACTTGCTTCATTCCGGCAGGTTTCAGGGTTCTCGTTCGATTCGATGCTCTCTCGCTCATGTATTTTTCGGTGAGTGCGTAGAGCTCCCTTTTGTCTGAAATGTCTCCCGCATTCCGGGCACTCGTGTGGTTTCTCGCCTGTGTGGATCAGTTCGTGTTGCTTGCATAGAAAGGGCTGCGTGAACGTGCGATCGCAGTAACTGCAGGCGAAGCAGCGAGCACGATCTCGCTCGTGTACGCTGCGCATGTGGAGGTTGAGATTGCTGGAGCTGTTGCACACCTTCGAGCATATGCGACAGCAATAGGTGCGCTCGAGCGTATGATAGTTCAGGTGAATCTTCAGCTCAGTCCGCGTTGTCTTCTGTACGCCACAGTAGGTGCAGCTATAGTTCTTAATGCCGGCATGGCGCATCATATGCACCTTGAGTAACTGCTTACTGGAAAAACGTTGGCTACAGTCCGCCTCTTCGCATACATAAGGTAACTCCGATTTGTCCTTGTGGGTGAAACGATGATTCTTAAGCCGCCACAGTGTGTCGAAAGTCTTGCCACAGTACTCGCAAACGTGCGACTTGTGCTCCTTGCCCAACTTGTGGCACTTACGCATGTGAACGCTCAGTGTATTCTTGTGACTGTAACCACGATCGCAGCCCGGTTCTGGGCAGGGGTAGGGCATAAGTCCATGTTGACGTTTGTGGGCTTGCAGGCGATGCTCCTCTAAGAACTGTGTAGCGCAGATGTCGCATTTGTATATCGATTTAGGCTGTTTAGCCGAGGAGCTCTAAATAAAACACAGACTGAAATTAGCCTTCAAAGGAAATGTTTTAAATCAAATTACTTACCTGTCCGGGAATTTGTTCTGATCTGATTTCTATTTGCTGTTGAACTGGTTCAATTTTTCTTTCCTCCATTTTAGTTTCTGTTTCACCTGTTTGCAGGAGTTCAAGAACCTGGTTTTTCTCTGGTTCAACTCTGGACTCACTAGGTTTCTGATCAAGATTAGTTCCCTCAGCAGTCTGGACATGCTGTTCATCATCTACAGAAAATGCTAATATTTCCATACGCCATTTTGTATCGGCTGCTATGCACTTAGCCCGAAATGCATACAAACGTTCCAGTTGGTCATGGCATGCCCGGCATAGCTCGCTGGGCAACCGCGTCTCATCGGACACGGATAAATCAGTGCATGTGATAAACTTGTGCGCCAATTTAGGCAACTTACGCATATCATAGCAAACAGTAGATGCATCGAGTGAGCAAATGCACACACGGCACTTGGAGGAATTGGACATTTACACTGTTACTAAATTTAAATTAATTTAAAGCACTTTTGCTGAACAGTGTTTGCGATATTTATTTTTGTTTATACCTCTATCAGCTGATTGAAGCAGTGTTGGACAACGCACATTGTTACTTGTTAATGAAACTTTGATATTTTGAAACACTGGTTTTTAATATGTGGGTGGACAACTAGTTGAAATTCTTGAACTGCATAGTAAAATATTTAAAAACAATGGAAAAACCTAATGGAATACACTACATTGAGCTTTCTAACAATTTTATACGCTTTGACGCCGTCAGTCAGCTAACAAATGTGTTCTTCGATGACTCAAACAAACAGGTTAGAGAAAAACAAGTATGTGTAATAAGTGGGTGGACTGCAGCCTTTTTTCGTTTCAGATATTTGCCGTACGTTCGGGTGGTGCCACGGGTGTGGTCGTAAAAGGTCCTGTGGAGGATACTGTGATATCGTTTTGCATGAGCGATCGTGGCGGTGCGATACGCTCCATTAAGTTCTCACCAGACAATCAAGTTCTGGCTGTGCAACGCAAGGAAAATGCCGTGGAGTTCGTTTGCTTTCAGGGCGAGCAACCTCTGCTCCAAGATATTATAACACATCAGGTAAAAACGCTGATTTATGGCTTCGTTTGGGTACACAATCGCGAGCTGGCGCTCATTTCGAACACAGGCGTGGAAATCTTTCAAGTTGTACCAGAGAAGCGACAAGTTCGTTCCGTCAAGGCGCTAAGCATCAGCATCAAGTGGTTTGCCTGGTGCTGCGATGCCAATGTGGCTTTGCTATGTACCACTGAGGGCAACACCCTGGTGCCTGTGCTCGTTAAACAGAAGGTCATAACAAAGCTGCCCAAAGTGGACTGTGAGTAGCCCAAAATAGTAGGTTAAAATCCAATCCATTTAATCTAATCTTTCTTTTAGTGGGAAATCCGGGTCGCGAGGTTCAGGAAAGCAAAGTGACGCTTGGTAGAGTGTATGGCGTACTGGCCGTCCTTATACTGCAGTCCAACAGCTCGACAGGCATGATGGAGGTCGAAGTACATCTGCTGAATGGCCCTGGTCTGGCGCCTCGTAAATGCCATGTGCTGCGGCTCAGCCTTGTTGGACGCTTTGCCATTAATACAGTGGACAATCTGATAGTGGTTCATCACCAGGCGACAGCGACATCTCTACTATTTGACATCGCACTTAGTGGTGAGGTGATCGATAATGTGACCTACCATGCGCCCATTACGACGGGTCGCTCAATCAAGCCATTCGGACTCAAGTTACCTTCACTCTCGCCTGATGGCCAAATTTTGCAGTGCGAGCTTTGTATGTGGTTTAATCATAATTATAATATACCTTATTAACTCCTTTTACGATTGCAGACTCTACCAACTGGGTTCTCTTCCAGCCTAATATCGTTATTGATGCCAAGTTAGGATGCATGTGGTATCTAAATCTGTCCATTGAACCACTGTGTAATCTAATTTCGGATCGCATACGTCTGACTGAATTTCTGCTTCAGCGTAGCTGCGGAAAACAGATGCTGTTGAAAGTAGTGCAACAACTAATGGGCGATCAGTATAAGGGCACGCTGTTACCTGTGCTGGAAACCATCTTTGACAAGATCAACAAGATTTATGCGTAAGTTAAAAACTGTGCGACAAGTCGTCAACTTACTTTCAATTAATTTTCTCAGCTCCTGGGTCCACTTGGAGCTACAGAATCAAACAGCACTGCCTTCGAATGTGAAGAGCACAATCACTAAAAGTGCTGCACCGCCCATAGTGCTCATCGAGCAATCGGATATGGTGCAAATCTTTCAGCCGATAGCTGAGCGACCGTTTACGGAAACTGTGCTAATGCTGTACCTGCAATCCCTTAACAAATACAACATATCCGCCCAGGAAGAGCTGAGCAAGATGATAATCAGCGAGTTGATACGTAATCATAGTTTTGATACCCTGCGTCGCTTGGTCAGCTACTCAATGCTGCTGGAGTCCAAGTCGGTGGCGTGCTTTCTGTTGGCTCACTCCGATGGCAACTCGGCTATATCACAAATGGCCATCGATATGCTGGGCAAGATACAGGCACATGAGGTACTTAGTTATATATAAATTATGTGAATACTTGATTAGCAAATCGATATTGCAGATTATAATTGAGGTGATGCTTGGTCAGGGCAAGGTCATCGATGCGCTGCGTCTGGCCAAAAATTCGCTGGGCCTCGACAAGGTGCCGGCGCGCAAGTTCCTCGAGGCAGCACACAAAGCTCAAGATGATCTGATCTTCCATAGTGTCTATAGATTCTTCCAGATGCGCAATTTGCGCATGTATGAAACTCTCGCGTTTCCCAAAGGTAAGACTTGATATTTTTTTAAGTAATTCATTCTAATTATTACTACAATATTTCCAGCCGAGCAATGCACCGAGTTTATACAGCATTATAATAACACCTTTCCCTCGGATAGCGCCAATGAATTACAGACGAGCTGAGGCCATTCTTTATTTGGATTCCTTCAGTTTATTTTGTGATTTAGCTAATAATTGGGGTATTCACACTTGAGTCTACAAATAGCTTAAGCTTGTACATTACATATATTATAATAAACAAATGAACATATAACATTAATACGATATATATAAATATATATGTATATATTTTTTCGAATGTGCATAAATACGAACATGTGACATCTTTTATTAAGTTGATTAGTATTTAACAATTGTTTATTTAAGTGAATAAGATATATTTATAGACTGAATTGTTGACAACACATTGAGCATTTAAGCATTATCGATGCTAGTTTATACACAGAACATCTGGAACAGAAACTTTCGGGACATTTATCCATAATACTTGACGCTGCATTTACACTTACACAAACAGAACTAATTAGAGGTACGATAATTACATTCAATGGCAATATATAAATATGGAATATACATAAATATATTAGGAATTTACATACACGCATTGGTACGCTATGCCTAGCAGAAACGTCGTGGCGGCGCCTTTAGCTGTAGCGAGCCCAGTTCCATAGTATTAGAGCTTTTTAGTAAATGCTGACTGGGACATGGCAAGCGTACAATTGACAACTGATGCACGGAATCCTGTTCGAACGGCAGCGGTTCTTCACAGCGTGGACATTGCTGAAGCGGTGTTGCTTCATTCCAACAACGTTCGTGGAGCGCATGTCCACATGGACCCATTACAAGGACCTGGGTCTGGTCGTATAAGCGCTGGCGGCAAATGAGACATCGCATGCTGGTCACCCAGAGACCGCGACGAGCCATATGCCGCTGCTCGGCGAACTCTGTGTGAAGATTCTGGCAGAGTATATCGGCGGCCTGGCGTAGCGCTTCCGTCTCCTGGCGTGAACTAATCAGCATACTCATCAACAGGTCCTTTATGTCACCAAAGCTGCTGGATACATTATGTGTGTTCATGATTAGCTGCACCAGATTGTGAAGATCAATGTGCTGCGAAGCCTCGTGCAGCATGGACTTGGTGATCGACTGCAGCTCCTGCTGTGGCAGTATATACTGCAACAAGGTAAACCAACAGTGCTCCAACTGCTTCTCAGGTAATGTCTGGGCCGAGCGCGCCAGTAGCTCTGCAATTTGCTTAGCTTCCTTTTCAGCAGCGTCCACGTCGGCAGCGTGCAACAGTTCCATGGATAGATCAAAGGCTTTCGCATAGCACTCCTGCTGCTCGTACAGGTAGATGACGGCTCGTTTCAGCTGATGCCGTTCCACAATGTCTATGGCTTTATTTAGGCGATAGCCCGCGCTGGTGCGTAAAAATTCAATCACGACATCAGCTTCTTCCAAATTACAGTACAGTTCGAGTAGCAGCTCCATTTGCGTTGGCAGCAATTCGCAGTGTCTGTCATTGAGGCACTGCAGCAGACGAAACAGCAGTGGCTTCTTTTTACTAAGCAGCTCCACCAGTTCACTAATCTTGCCTGGATAATGCAATGCAATAAGACGCGTCGTTTCCGTAGCATTAATCTCCAGCAGTTCTCCCAGATGGTCCCGCAGCTGCGCATAGATCAAGCGCTCGCTGTTGCCCACATGACGTTCCATATAGGCAAACATCGTTTCATGTCGCGCCGAATTGTGTATGAGACAATCGAGCATGTTGTCGTACCGCTGCAACTTCTCCAACAAATACTCTACAACATAGTAGCAGTGTGCTCGTTGTGCCAGTTCCAACTGTTCCTCATCGCTGCTGATGTCTGCAAGGCAATTGCTGGAGAGCAGCTCGTGCCAAGCGCTCTCTCGCTCTGAATGCTGTCGCGCACTCTCATTGGCAATGTTCTCTTGTGCCAGGTAGCTGAGCACACGTTCCAGTAGTTGCTTATCACGAGGCAGGCACTGTGTCGATATCTGCTGTGCTATAAAGTTCAGCAAGCAACCAATTTCCGCCCACTGCAAAAGGAGTTCAAATTAAGACAAAATATCATGATGATAAAATGCTCTTTTGGCACTCACCGTCGCATTTTCGGGCGTCATAATTTCGAGTAGCAGATATATGATACGTTTGCGATGAGAGTAGCCCAGCTCGTTGCTGAACTCGCGCTCCTGGAAAGCCAACGAGATGACATTTAAAGTTTCGCGCGTATCGAATTTTAGTAGAGCGCGCAGATATGGATAGGGCAGTTCATCAACGGGGCTGGCACTCGAGTGCTGGGAGGTGAGGCAGCGCAATACATCATTCTTGACCTGCTGCACCTGGTCCTCTGGTATATCGCCGCTTGGAAAACGCCGTCCGGCCAAGCAGCTGGATATATAAACTAATAGACAGTTGCCTAGATCCGTTTGATCCGGCCGCAATGGGGGTAACAACTCCGTCAACGCCGTTGTGTAATCATTCAAAGCGCAAGCATTAAGATAGAGTTGCGCACGGTAGAGCTGATGCTTCCTGACTGCTTTCAACACCTGATTCAAGTCCAAGCACATCCAGTCTAACTTTAAAATCAACTGCTCCAATTTGGCAGGCGAATGTTGCAGCCAGTAGTCCACAAGAGCCTGCGATATGACTGGATTAACACTGTGTATGGTCTCCTGTTCAATGTGCTCAGAGATGTGCTGCAAGAAGAGCTCCGTGTTGTTGTGCAGCCGTTCCCACAGTTGCGTCCACAACAGATCCAGTTCACCAATGGTTATCAGGCAATTGACAATAGCGCCAAGGCAATAATCGGGCGCACGTGCTGAATTGGCTATGTACTCCTTGAACAGCATTATTATGCGCTCCTTGGCCTGGGCGCGTTTGCGTGGTCGTTCCACAGAGGCGACATACCCATCCAAGGCCAGCTGACACGCCTCCTGCCAGCGATGGTTTTTCACCTAAAAATTGAGTAGAATAAGTCAATTTTATATTTAGACCAGATTTCATATTTACCAAATAACTAATGCGCTCTGACCAGGTGCGTACACCAATGATATGGAGCGAACGCGCACCGAGCACATAGAGCTGCGTGCCCCGAGACACCACAGAGTTATAGCATGCGTTAGTGCCGGCCAAGGCAAAGGCGGGTGAAACGTTGCCGCCAGTGGCCAAACCTTTAAATTGTGCCGAGCCGTAAACCAGACCAGCATTCGCCATGTCCATGCACTCCAGCTCCCGACTGGAGCGCACATCCACCAAATGCAATATCTCCGAGGTGTCCAATGATGCAACACACTTTGGACCCAGCCAGTGGGCGGAGAGGAGGCTGCTATGCAGCTGGACATGCCGTAGATAGAGCAAAGTTATGCGTCCATTGGCTACAAAGAGCTGATGAAAGAAGAGTTGATTGCCACGACCAACGACTATGACAGGATCCACAGAGCGAGTTGTGTCAGCCGCTTGTATAAGCACCAGATGCCACGCCAGCAGAGGTAAGCAATCAGCTGGTCCCTGCAGCGCATGGAACTTGATAACACGCAGACGTGGACGCACTGTGACTATAAAGTATTTAGAGAGCGTAGCCAAGGCCACTATGCAGTACTGGTCCAGTTCATGCCGTCCATGAGCGTCCATGATAAGCGGCTCTACGGCGCAAACCTCGCCACGCGCGCCAGAGAACAAACAGCGTGAGCTGCAGCCCCTGATGCCTAATTTACGTGTAAAGCTCAAAGACCACACAGAGCCGCCAGCATCCGCGCAGAGCGCCAGTGAGGAGCGTGATGTCCACTTGACATGCAGCACTCCGCTGTTGGGCGTTATCACATCGAACAGTTCGCGTAGCACATCGCCCGTTTGGGTGTCCAGCATGGCGACCAAGCCACGTGCAAATCCCGCTAGTAGGCGTGTGGAATCGGCATTGAAAGCTAGACTAGAAACGGCTCCTTGGCCATGCTTGTCCTGGTGAGCCCAGCGTAGCGTTTGGGTCACATCGAAGTTGAGTAAGTGACCGTGCGAGGTACCTACAGCTATGTAAGCTGCGACGGCACAGGCGCTGGCTGCCCCAGCATTGACACGCTCAGCAGCGGAAGTTAGTTGGGCGGAGATTCCATGGAGCAGGGTATATCGCATTATGGAGCCAGAACTACTGCCGCCTCGTCCATCACCGCGTACGCCGCAATCCTCGCCAATCGAGGGCGTTGGCGTTGCTCTCGGCACCGGCATTCCAAGCTCTGATGCCACGTCGGAGTCTGCCTCGAATTCGCTGAGCACCGTTTCGAGAGTGGGCAAGTCGGTGGGTGGTATGGCAAACTCGACATCGTCCAGCTAAATGTCAAAGTTCATAATCAAATTGACACTGACATTGTTTTTATTTTCTACTTACGCCTTCGAACTCAAAATCAAGTTGCAAACTGTCCGTGGAGCCGCGATCTGATTCTAGCAGCGATTGCAGCGATGGAGCCTTCAACTGAGCCATGCTGCACACGGTCGTTCTCGCTTTTTACCTTAAATTTGTCAATATTATTGTAGCAATCTATAATTCTAATCTTAATTTTTATCAATGAACGTCTGTACGCCCACCATTTTATCGATACTTACGATGAACCGACTACTGTAGGTTAAGTTGATAGATGTATCGCCGGTAGTTAAGTATCGATAGTTGTTCATTTTGCAACTCTGGCAGTGATAGTTCGCAGTCAGCTGTGAACTAGTTCAGCGTCGCAGGTCTTTTTTTGCTTTCATCTCTCTATTTCATCAGTTTCATTTTAACCTTTATCGTGGCTAGTCGCATCCGCAACCGCGCACGGGAATCCCGTGATTGAACATTAAAATTAATTAAATGCATAACTTACAATAGAAATGTGCGTGAAGCAACAATAATAATTGACGCCCGCGGTCAATACGAAAGTGATCATTGCGTAAATGGCCAACCGGAACATGAAGCAACAACGCGCGTTGCGAGCGGCCGTGGAAACTTCGATTTTTGCATGAGTCGCGCTTAGCCAAAAACAAAAAAAAAAACAAAAATAAAAATATACGAAAAGAAAACAAAGAGGCTGGTAAAATAAATTGCAGAACCTATAGAACTAATCGGTCTTACAAATATAATTCCTAATGCGAATATAAATAAATTTGTTTATTTCGCTGTTTGTGTGCGTTTGTTTGTAATTCGGTTGTCTGCTTTGTTGCTGCTGTTTGTTTGTGTTTTTGCACTACTCTCTCCAATGTACGCGCGTCAGTCGTTTATTGTGAATGTGTATGGGTGCAGTGACGTAAACAAATGCAAATAAAAAGGCACAATTGTAAACGAAAATTTGAAAAATGCCAACAACAGCAACAGCAACAACAACAAGAAAACAGCCGCATACCGATGCCGATGCCGTTTCACGTGCCAAATATACATAGTAGCAGCAACAGCAACAACAACAGAACGATAACTTTTTTGCGCCGTGTGTTTTGTGCAGCTCATTCGCTGCAAGGCCAGCTGAGCGCAACACGTTTGTGTTTGTTTCTGCTGCATGCGTAGGCGAGCAGAGCAGCAGCAGCGCAGCAGCAGCAGCAACAGCATGTGCGAGTGTGTGCGTGCATTGATTGAAACATAGATGCGACAGGTAAGCACAACTCCAATTATGTTCATACTCTTTAGCACGCAAATACAAAAATAACTGTGAAAAGTATGCCATGCGTGCGTGTGTGTAACATTTCGCCTTTGTTGCGCCGCCCGAGTGTCAAATTTACATAGTTAATTACAGTTAACTAGCGAGCGGAAGAGACTTCCACATAAATAGAAACTTATCAATTAGTAAGAGCCAAGAGCGGCGCCTTTGCAGGTAATTTTCCAAACGTACAAACACACACACACACTTACACACACTAAAATGCAGACGCTCGCTCTTGCAGTGTCGTTTTACGTTTGTCAAGATAAGCAACCACAATAACAACAACAACAGCAGCAGCAACAAAGGCTACATCAAAAGCAAAGCACGTTAATGACATTTCTGGAGCATTTTTACACACACACACACAGAGACGCATGTACCCCACTCCCCTGTAACCCCTTTTTATCTTCCTTTTTAATATGTCGTATGCGCTAGTTTTTCCACATTTTTGTACCCTACTTAAATGTTGCATATGATAAATTGTTCAATTGATTTGTAACGGTACTTGATTTGAAGTCGGACATTGTGGAATGAGTGGGAAATTGAATGTTTGAATGTCTGTCTAGATATTTCCATTAATGATTATTTGAAATTAATTTTTTTTTTTAATTTCTACTTCTATTTAAAGCTTAAATTTGAACTACAATTTGTAAACTGTCATAAAATATTAAACTAGTTCTTTAGTAATGTTCATATTCGACAGCTTTGGCTGCCTTCCCATATATAAAAAACCATAAACTGATATGGAGGTCGAATAGCTCATCTTTTGTCACTTATTCAGAATTACAATTGGTAAATTATCCCAAAATATTGAATGCATTAGCAAATGCTTGGACTAATGAACGTCCACATTGAACTGCATTTCCATAAATGTTTCTTAGAAATTGAATATTTTACAAACATTACTTTGTCCACACAATAGTTCAAAAATATCGATAATTATATTTTTTAATTAGCTAAAAGACTGAGCATTTCAAGAGTAGAAATTTGCCTTGAAATAATTTCCAAAGTTGAGTTTCAATAACTGCTATTTATAAATACAATAAAATATACAATGCTATATTAATTGATTGCTGAAAGTCTTGTGATCATTGTTAGATGATTTCCTTTATGAAGTGCATTTAGAATTCGTTGCATTTGTTTGGCTTTAGTTGCTTGGCTTTCTGTGTTGATCATTGTGCTTTCGCTTTGTGCTCCTTTAGCTATGGCTTTGCTTTTCATCTGTCTTTCATGGCCACTAAATTTATTGGTCAACATTTTATCTTTTGGTGTTCGAGCACCCACGCGGCGACTGCGACGTTAACTTTGGAAACGGCTAAGGCAACGGCAACGGCAACGGCAACGTCAACGGCAACGGCAACTCCTTCAACTTGTTTTTGGGTTTCTCTTGGCGTTCGTGTGTTGAACGCCCACGTGGAAATTTAACGCCTGAATGCGCCGTCGACCGGTTCAGATTCTAGATAGTAGATTCTAGATTCATGATGCCGATTTCAATATTTTCCCAAAACGTGGTCAGCATTCACATAAATATTGTGGAGAAGGGACCGTAAAAGTGAATGAAAAACAAATATACAAATTTTCCGCCATGAATTATGAGCATATGCCGTTAGTTTTTAGTATCGAAAAACTTTTCTGTATCTTTGTTTTTTTTTGTCTGTGGAAAATATCTTAATTTCAATAAACTTGGCTGCGTCCCCATTCTATAAATTTCACACACACGCGGAGACTCTCATAACTTAATGTTTTGTTTATCTTTAGATGATTTGTTTAGGCTAGGAGAGTGGTAGTAGGGGAGGGAGGGGGGCAGATGTGTTTTTGATTCAACGATTACAGTCGAACAAATTTTGCAATTGTTGGTGCTTATAATTCAGGCCTTAACCCATTGTTGGCCACATGATAAACGACGGCTTGTTAATAAATCAAAGGCAATCGTGCATTGTGTGTTTGTGTCCTGTGTGTATATCCTGTGTGCCGCTGCTACTGCTGCTGTTCCAGCTCCTGCTCGAACGAAAAGAGTGCTCGTTACAATGTCAGAAAGTTTTTGTTTTGCAACTTCTACATGCCGCTTGGTCCTTGGAGCATGCAACATGATTGGCTATTGCACTCAGCACAGGATACTCGTATTTCATACGCCTTGTAGATTTATGAAGTGCCCAGGCGAGCCGCTTGACTACGTGGGCGTGTGCCCCGCTCTCCGCCTCTCGATGTGTTTGTGTGCTTAACATGCTGCAAGCTTGTGCTTAGGGTTAGCATACATACTTCCTGTGCGTCCTGTGCATCCTGTGCCACAGGCTGCCATTGGCATTCTAATGATTTTTTATTGTTGTCGCTTAAGTGGCCCATTGTACAGCTGGCAACATATTGTCCTGACAGCGCCCACTTGATATCCAAACCCCATTCAGGTTGAGGCGCCACAGCTGCTACAGCTGCTGCTGCAGCAAGAGCTAGAGCTTCTGCACTTGTGCCAAAATTGCCTTCGGGTGCGTATCTGTCTGCGATATGATAACATTTCTAATTATATACGCTGATTAGAACACCGCAAATCAGCAGCAAATTAATCATAAAATTTTTTGCAAAGTTTTTTCTTTCTACATCGATTTGATTAAGCTCTGTTTTGCAGTTTTTTTTTTAGATAAGCTTAAACTACACAAATATGAATGTAATTGAATGGTAGTCAGATTAGCTGGAACGATTATACGAGTGGTTCCCAAAGATCGCATAAGCTTATAGCTATATTTGAAATTTTTTTTTTCAAATATTTTTAAATATATACAAATTTCTATTAAAATCTATAAATCATTGACTAAATTGTGAGATTTCTTAAGTTCTTTCTTAAATGACTTTTTATATGCAAAACATTAGAAAACGTGTGTATAGTATATAAATATATATAATAATTCTATACATTAAATTTTATTTTCAAATTTAATTAGATTTCTTTTTCAGCTCTCATTTATTATATTATATCATAGACGTAAAACAGACAGCACAGTCTAGTTTTTCTTTGAAATCTATATTATATTATATTCTGTATAATTTCTGAGTATATATATCTATATAAATATCAAAAGTCTTGAATATAGCAGTCGAAAAGTTCTTAAGTTTCGCACTTTTAGTTCAAAGTGCAAAACTTTTGCATTTGTTTACTAAATTCTTAAGCTCGCACAGTTTTGAGCGTTAAGTTTATTGCTTTAAGCTAATTATTATTATTTATTTGCTGTGAAGTGCTTGAGGTAGATGTTGCGCCTTCCAAACAGGTTCTGAATATTAATCTTTGAGCGTTATCAACTTTTGACAGTCACGATCATTCAGTTGCTATATTTTTATTATTCTTGACTGGGATTTTAATTATTGTTGAATTTTGTTTTCTTTTTTTTGTAATTAAATAATCGTAAAATAATAATTTTTAATTAGAAATTCTATTAAATGCGAAGGCATGCGCTGCTTAGAAATGAATTTGAAGAGCTGCAGTTAAAGTTATTTCCAGCTGCCCGAGTACAATTCAAAAGTAAATTATCAACTGGTAATTGATTGCGATCTTTGGACTTCATATAATGATCTTTAATATGTCTGTCTTTTGTTCCCTTTGTCTGCTGCTTGGCCCGGCTTGCGCTCTAAGAAATCTTCTTTACTGCGGCTTATGTTGCACAGTAGCTGAAATTGCCTGCTGCTGCTGCGGCCTTTATGCCACATCATAGTAGAAAATGCATTCGGCTTAGTCACTATTTGCCCGCCCAGACAATCCAGCTAGAGAGGAAGTGGTTAGCGGGGGCATAGAAACTGGTTCGCTGTCTTCTTCTTTTTGATACGCTGCCTGAAGTAGCTGAGAGCTGAGAGCTAAGAGCTGAGCGTTGTTTGAGTTCGAGTTTGAGTTTGTGCCCTATGCGCTGTGCTCTGTTTATTATGATCTGCTGGCGAGACAGAA